TGCTGACTAAGCATCTAGTCTCCGGAGCAACAGGAAAATAAATGACCTGAACACCAACTTACCCACCAATCCAGTGTTGGTGAGGCAAGAGCTCATGTTAATTAATGTTTATAAAGTGATTGGGTATCCCTGAAATGAAAGAGACTATTCTAAATCCCCAAAGTATTATTATTACCACCAGCCTGAATAATCTGTTTTTTAAGGAAGCCATTATTATTGAGTGCCTACTATGTGACAGATGTTTTCACATACTTGATCTGACTTAATCCTCTTAATCCCCCTATGTGGTAGGTTTGGGTTTTCTTCCTTTTTTATGCTTTTTTTGGGGGGCAATCCTCACTGTACAGATGAGAAAACCAAATTCAGCAAACGTCATTTGCTAGAAAGTGGCCAAGCTGAAATTAAAGGCTAGATCTTCTAAGTCTAAAGTCCTTCTCTCTTTCATCACACCACACTGCCCCTTCCAGTCTTCCCTTCAGATTCTTTCTGCATTTAAAACCAAATTTCATTCAAGGATGCCTGCGGCTTTTTTTTTTTTTTGGTATGTCTTTTTTTTATTGAAGTGTATTTTGCAATACAGTGAAACGCACAAGTCTTAAGCTTACAATGCAGCATGTTTTGACCAATGCATATACCTCCATACCACTGTCAATGTAAGGGACATTTCTATCACCCCAGAAAGTTCCCTGGCACCTCTTCACTAAGGATGCTTGTTTAAAAAAATACAGCAAAAAAATGAGCTACTTTCCTTTCACCAAAACAATCTTTTTGTGACCTTGGCGGCGGGGGCATGTCACTTGCCCAGTGGGTCCATCCCTGAGGTGGATGCACTGAATTATCTGATGCTGGAAATATCAGGAAGAGGTACCCAGCTAAAATTCTGCACCCTGCTGGCTCCCTCCACACTGAATGGATGGGGATGAGTTCATCTGGATGAAACAGAGGCGAGATACCATTGGGCCTGGATTTATCACAACCGCCATCACCATTTTGGCCTCTACCGTGTGTCAGGCATCAGAGTGTAACACCCTTATACACATAATCTCATTTCATCCTAATTATTGTTTCCATCTTACAGCTAAGGAAACTGGAACTCAGAGAGGTTAGGGACATACCTAAGAACACACAGCTAGAAAATGGCAGCCTTGAAATTCAAACCCAGGAGGTCTGACTTCAGAGGCCTTTACAGACGTTGATGGGTAATTTTAAATCCCAAAGATTTAATGGGCCCATTATATTCATTCAACAAACCGTACTCAGCATCTACTAAGTGCTAGGTGCTGGGTTGAGTGATATGGAAGGAGCTACAAAGATGAATAAGATACAAGCTTGCACTGGCAGTACCATAGCGTGATGGAGAGTCACTTACAGCAAGGTCAAGGTCAGGATCCCCAAGACATGGGGAAAGGGCTGTGTAAGGCCCAGGTTTGGGGAGTAGTGGAAGGGTTGCATCAAGGAGGTCCTCACAGAGATGCTGGAAAGATTTCTCTTGATCCAAGTCTTCATGGATGTGTGGGAAGTGGTCAGCTCTGGAGGGGTTTAAGCTTAGAGGTAAAACATACACAATGGCATGGTGAAGCCCTTCTGTCTGCTCCTTATTTAGCTTCAGCAAAATCAATCAAGCCCAATTTTAAAACCCCACAGGCATGCAACACACACTGAGGTCTCTAAGCTGCTACCCTACCTCTTCCTAACAGCTGAAAATCAACAGAAGAAAAAAACCTAGCTCTGAAGGGTAAAGAGTCACTGCAGAGTTCATGCCTTCAGCCCGTGCACGTGATTGTTGAAAGCCACCAAGCCCTCCGGGTTCCCTATGATCAGGTTCAGGATTCCTTGGGCCTGGCAGTTTAGCAGCAGCAAATAAGAAAGGTGGACAGGTGCAGAGATGGCAGTAAGAAGGGGCCACCAAGGTAGAAAGACTTGAAAAGATGACGCAAGACACTCAAAAATCAACAGCTTCTTTCAGGACATCGCTGTATAACATTACACAATAGCTTGCTCAACTCAACAGGCATCTCATAAGCTGCAGCTGTGTACCAGGCCCTTAGACTTGGCGGAGGATATAAAAACATGAAGTCCAGTACCGCCAGTGCAGTTTGATAGGAACAAAAGGTGGATAAATCGGGACAGAAAGAACGTCAGGCTGTAAGGGGTCTCTGCTTCACTGTGTAGGTAATGAAGAGCAAGTGGGATGGCCTGAAGGCAGGGAACGCATCTGTCACTAAAGAGCAAGACAGTGAAGTTCACTGTGCCTCAGTTTCAGTATAACAGGGATAATCGTAGTACCTTTTCAAGGGAATGCTGTAGACCAAATGGGTCAATATAGAGTAGTTTTGCACGAGTGTCAGCTGTTATTACCTTTACACTTGCTCTATCCTGGATTGACTAACTGCTCAATAAATATTGATGAGCAAACGAATTCACAAATGAATGAATAAGTGATGCCACTGAGTTAAAGGGGAAAAAAATTGATTGTGTAAGGCGTGGGCTCCTTAATAAGGCTTGCAGATCAGAAAGACGGCCATGCGAAAACAGTTTAAGAAACAGGTTTGATGTTTAATGTATGTTTCAAATACACAAGAAAGTAATCGCTCCTTCCTTAACTCTTCTGCATAAATGACCTGCCATTTTAAATAAGCCCAAGGAAAAGAGAAAAAGAGATCACAATGAAATTACAGTATATCTCATACCAAGAGATGGCTGAAGGGGCCCTGAAACCCAGGAGTTAAGCTCTGCTGTGGGAAACGCTGTGATGGCAGCAAACCCCAACCACCACACACTCAGCCTGCCCAAAACCAACTCTGTGGCCTGCTCCTTCCTTAAATTATACTTACTCCAAAAAGGATAAACACAAAAACTGTCTTTAAAAGATGTTAAGGATCATAAAAGTAAAACCAATTTGAAAAAACAGAGAGGCTACTAACACAAACAGACCGAGCTAGAAGAGGACCTGGGGGTCTCTCGCAGATCTAGGCCCCTATTTGACAGATAAGAAGTCTGGGGCCCAGAGAAGGGAAGTGAGTCAACCAAAATCATAACTTCAAGAGAATGGCAAAGACAGACATGGAGCAGGGCATCCAGATTCCCGAACCGGAGCCTCACGGGCTCATTCCTCCCAAAGGAAATATGGAGAGAGAAGGAAGGAGAGGTTCCATCCCAGCAGGGGCTGAGGGTTTGGGGGGCCAGGACTGAGTAAAGGACGATCGTAAAAAGGGGGAGTTAATTCCCAGGGCGGTGGGCGCTCCGGTGGGAAGAAAATGAAGCCCTCTGCGCTTTGCGGGGCTGGGGAGTAGGGTTCCAGACTGAACAATCCTGTCCAAAGCTCCTGGGTTTTGCAGGTGAACCCTTCCCCTTGTGAAGAAGCGCACACAAAGACCAAAGCCGTCTCCCAGATGTTTCCATCTTAGTCCGGATTTCACGTGTGGGTGGCGTGGGTGGGGGGATGGGGAGCCTCGCAGATGCCTTCGCTTTAGGGTTGCGCCCTCCGTTGGCAGCAGAGGTGGAAGGGCTCTGGCAAAGAGATCCCGAAGAGTCTTGGGGATCAACGCGGAAGTCGCGAGCCCGCCCCCGCCACACACACACACACACACACACACACACACACACACACACACACGCTTTGCTCCCTTCTTTCCCCTCCCCCAACAATGATCAAAGCCAGGTGAAGGGACCGAGAGCTAGAGGGTCGGTTTCCGAAGGGCTTCTGGACCCGCGCGCCTGCTCGCTCCTGCGCACACTCACATACACACGCACATACACGCACACACTCACATGCACACACTTGGCACCCCCAGAGGCCGAGCCGCGCCCGCCGCATCTCTCCGTCAGCCCCCGGGAAACGGACAGGCAGCAACATGAATGAAATCTGCCCAGAAAGACTGCATTTCAGCTCCAACCACGCAATCTCGGGCCAAACCGCTGAATATGTAACAAAGTTTTATTTCGCTTTTGGAGTCTCCAGTTACGCTTCTACCATTTCCTGTGGAAAATTGAAGCTTTGAAGTGTCTAGCTCCGGCTTTCGCAGACAGGCCGGACCGCCAGCTCGAGCTCTCGAAAACAAGAAGCCCCAGCCCCACCCCCTCCGCCGCCAGAATTGCAGGTTCAAACCCACCCAGGTCTGGCCTGCAAAACGGGAGGGTGCGGGAGGGAATGACAGAACCTGCTGGAAACGACGCCCTAAACTGACAACCCCCTCCAGAACCCCGCCCCACTCCCTTCCTGCCCTGGTCCCTAGTGGCTGGCGCTCCTTAAGCCAAGTGGTGACAGCTGCAGCTCCCTGCCACAGGGAACCTAGAGCTGCAAGAGCTGGGAGGTCGGAATTGGGGGTGGGGGGTGTCCATTGCGCAGGACCCACCAGCTGTGAGCTCTGGCCCTCAAAACCTGCCCCGGAAAAACTTGAGACCTGAAAGTCTTCCCGCTCCACCCTCTCACCACACACACCTCTCCCCTACTGTTTCTAGGCCGAGCGAGCTCTCAAACGTTCTGCCTTTAGAGCCGCGGGGCCTCTCCTTTACCAGCTCACGGACAGAGTCCCCGAGGGTGCGGGAAAGTATGCGGACCGGGCGGCGGAGGGAGGAATAAGCCTCCTCCCCAATTCCAGGGAGCCAAACTTGTGCGCCCGGGAATTTGGCATCATCAAGGTCAAAAAACCAGGGGTCTGGCAGAAATATGTCCTAGGCGCAAATGACTGCAAACCTGTTCCCCACAATGGTGTCGGGTTCTTCCCACAGCCTGCAGGAGGCAGCCGCCGCCCCGCCCGGCACTGGGGGCGGAACCGCGCGCTCTGGGACTTGGCACCTTAGGAGCCGCGGGAAGTATGAGGATCCCGAGCGCAGGAGGGAACAGGCGGGTTTCGGGCCGCCTCCAAGTCGGCGGTCCCATCAGAGGCTTGGGACTGCAGCGGGTGGCTAGAACGACGCGGGAGGGGGACGCGAGGCAAACTTGCGAGGACAGTCGGCCGGGTTGGGTGGGAGGGGGCGGCACCTGCGCGGCCACTTACCGCTGGCGTTCTTCCCGCAGATGAGGTGCTGATAGGGCTGCAGGAGCCCCCATATCTCGGAGTCGTTGTTGACAGTATGCTCCAGCGTCTCCACGGTGAACTTGGGCGCCTCGTGGAGCGCATGGTGGTGGAGATGGTGGTGGTTGACCGCGGCGGCCGGCGGGGCTGCGGCGGCGGCGGCAGCGGCGGCCGGCTGGGCGCAACAGCTGCTGCCCCCGCTGGCGCTGCTGGCTGCGCTGCAGGCGCCGCCGCTCGCCGTTCCCCCTCCGGGCGCCTCCCGCTCTTTATCCACCGCGGGGGCCGCGCCGGGGCCGGAGCCTGGGCCTGGACCGGAGCTGGAGCCCGGACCGGGACCACTGCAGCTCCGGGGCAGCCCGGAGGCCACGACCCGCGCGTAGATGTCCCGGAAGAGGCTCTCCATGCAGGCCGTCAGGTAGATGGCGGCGTGCTCGTGGATGCGCAGCGCCACGCGGCTGTCTACCATCCAGCGGTACACGCGGCCCACGGAGAAGGTGAGGCCACAGCGCGCAGACTTGCCGCGGCCCAGGCGGTCGCCGCCGGCACTGCTCATGTTGTAGAGAGACAGCGCGGCCAGCGCGGCCGCCGTGCAGTGCGCCGCCAGGCCCCAAGACAGCACGATCTCCATGGCGCTCTTGATCTCGTACTTGGTGCACTTAGCGAAGCGCAGGCTCAGGCGCTGCGCCTCTTTGGCGATGCGTACCAGCGCCCGGCTCACCAGCGTCGACAGCTTGGCCAGCGCGTCTTTGGGCAGGCCGCCGGGGGCCACCGGGCCTGCCCGGGGATCGCGCGAGCGCAGCAGCAGCGCCTCCAGCTCCTGGAGGGTCCAGGGGACCTCGTCGAGGTCCGGCAGCAGCCGCGAGCAGTGCTGGCCGGCGCAGTCCAGCCCCTCGGAGTCTTCCACCAGGGCAGTGTTGACGGTGTCAAAGCTGTTGTGCCGGCTGTGCATGGAGTCAGCTAGAGGCGGCCAGCAGCTCCCGCCATACGGGGACGCCGGGTGCGAGTCGGAACAGCACAGGGACAAGTTGGAGGAGCGCACCGAGTCCGCCGCGCCACCATAACCCGAGTCCAGCGTCAGATCCTCCAGCGTCCGCACCACGGGCTTCTTACCTCTCCTGGCCATCGCTACGCCACTTCATGCTGCGGCCGCCGGGGAGCCGAGGGGAAGGAGCAGCGAGGAGCAGCAGACGCCGGGGCGCGGGCACAGCCGAGTCCGCGCCGCCTCGGCTCACTTTTCCACCAGCCGCTACTACCAAGTGTTACTACTTTCGGCTGCCTCCTGGAGCCGCCGCCGGTGGAATACACAGGGCAGACCCTGGAGTCATCTTCCAGAGCCCGGGCCGGAGCTGGGGCGCACTGAGGACAAGCCAGGCCGGGAGGGAAGCTCACGCCGGGACTCGCCCCTTTCTTCCAAAATAAAATAAAAAGTGTCTGACCCGCTCCTCCCTGGGCCCAGCTGGGCGCAGAAGCCGCCAGGCACTGGCCTCGGTGTTCGTAGGACGGAAATCGACCCAGATGCCACCGCAGCAGCAGCTCCTCCGGCAGCTGGCTCTGGGCTCCGGGCTCCCGGCTCCCGTCTCCCGGCCCGGGCTCGCTCGGCGCCCGCCCGCCCCGCACTGAAGCGCAGCCGAGACCGCGGCGGCTGCAAACCCTCCCGAACCCCGCAAACCCGGAGCAGCCAGCGGGGCGGGCGTATGTAAAGCAGCGCCGGCGGAGAGCCAATGGGATCAGGGCATGCTAATCACCTCGCTTTTTTTTTTTTTTTTTAATTCCGCAGCCCCGCCCCTCACACGGGCCCGGGGCGGTGACCAAGGCTACAGGAAGTGGGGAGCCTCGGGCTGGAAATTGGGGGGCCTGTGGGAGCGCAGAGACGGGGACTGCCCTCATGCTGCTGTCCCTGACCCTCAGGCTCCTGGCTTTGGTACCAGAACAGGAGGGTGGTAGATTGGGCAGGTGACCCCCGCCCCCCCCATCCACCGAGGTGTGCTCCCCTCAGCGGTTTGCAAAGTGTGTGCCTGGGATTGCTTTCTGCCCCAGAGTTTCGGATTTCACTTTCCTTTCTTCTTTAATTCGTACACGAAGCGTGGTTTTTCTCCCTCTCCCCTTCCCCCACCTTCGGGTCCCCAAACCAATTAAAGCGGTCCTCTTTCAGTCCCAGTTTGCCCCAGCTTGGAGGGAAATAAGAAACTAGGAGAGTGAAGGGGCCAGGGCGATGCATACCACTGAACGGCTAATCTGTGGACATTAGCCACCTGCCACCAGGCGCATTAACTAGGTTCCTTCCGGTAGCCAGAAGGACCCTGCGCCCATCCTTCAAAGGGCTGCGGGTGTGCTGGTGGGAAGGCTCGTGTCCCACTCTGTCGTTCTGGTGGGTATGGTTCCAGACAGCTCAACTTTAAAAAGGGTAAGTTTGCAGGGAGGAGAGTCTTCTTTTTTGATTGAAGAAAGATATAACATATATGCATGACACGGCTGCATTTATGTCAAAGGGCAGAAACCAGATCTTATTCACCTGGGGATCCCCAGCACCCCCACAATGTCTCTGCCTGACGTAGGGGCTCTCTTCTTCTGGCTGGCTAGAATTTTCCACTTGGAAGTCCCCTCCTATAGGAGGGTAGCCCAGATCCTTCAATACTGGCTTGGGTGTTTCAACTGCCCATCCTCCTCTGAGACTATTGATTTCTGGGCTTTTGTTGCGGGAGATTGTTACAGCCTGATGATATGTCTAGACTGCTCCCTGGACTAGGGCTTCCCCATGCATAGGCCTGGCACAGAGTAGGCACCCAGGGACCATTTGTTGTAAATGGGTAAATGAAAGGAGGAAGGGTGTGATCTTGAACTGTTTTGAATGTTCAACAATGGACTTTCTCAGATAAGCCTTTAGATTGTCTGATGTTTCTCATATCTGTCAACCCAAATCCACTGTCACCCTTCACCACAATAAACCAACTAACCAGAGCTTGAAATGGAAAGCCACCCTTCCCTTCGCAGTGATAAACCACCATGACCCTGTAGCTACCATCCTAATACATGTGCTCATCACCTCTCACTTTGACTATTATTGTATTCTACCAACTGGTCTCCTTCTCTGCTGCCTTTTCCTTCAAACCATCCAGTCCAAGAATCTTCCAAAAGCCCTGTTCCGAGATTGTCATTCCTCTCTCGAAAAAAATTCAAAGCCTCCTCATTGCCTTCCAGACAAAGTTTATATGAATAAGTCAGAGGGAGAAAGTCAAATACCCTATGATCTCACTCACAAATAGAAGATAAAAACAACAACAAACGCACATGTAGAGACAGAGATTGGATTGGTGGTTACCAGAGGGGAAGGGGGGAGAGAGGAGGGCGAAAGGGGTGATTAGGACATGTGTGTGGCGACGGATGGTAATTAGTCCCTCGGTGGTGAACATCGTGTAATCTACACAGAAATTGAAATATAATGATGTACACCTGAAATTTATATGTTATAAACCAATGTTACCTCAACAGAAAAATAAAGTTTATATCGATTAGCTGGCCTTCAGAATCTCTTCACTCTGTTCCCAGACACTCTTTCCCTAAATATTCCAAACCTTTTATAGGGGATCACGATGGTTAATTTAGGTGCCAACCTGTGTGGGCCACAGGTGCCCTGTGTAAACATTGTTTCTGGGTGTGTCTCTGAGGGTCTTTCCAGATGAGATTAGCGTTGGAATCTGTGGGCTCAGTAGAGTAGATGGCCCTTCCCAATGCCGTTGAGCATCGTCTGATCTGAATAGAGCAAAAGGTGGAGGAAGGAGGAACTCGCCGCTGGGGCATCTCATCTCATCTTCTCCACCTCTTGACCTGGAGTTACACCATCGGCTCCCCTGCTCCTCAGGTCTTCAGACTTGGACTGAATTACACCACCAGCTTGCAAATGTCAGATTGTGGGACTTCCCAGCCTCTATAGTCACGTGAGCCAATTCCTCATAATAAATCTCTCTATATATTTTTTCTCTGTTTTTCCAGAGAATCAGAACCAACAGGATATATACATATATATATCTGATTCTCTGGAAAACCAACTAATACAGGGAGGCCACGTCTTTAAGGATCCAAACCCTGCCTTCCTTTCTAGCCTCTCACTCATCACTCCAGCCTCCTGAGCATATATTCACACTCCTGCAGACCCACAGATACACTCACACAGCTACACAGAGACATACACGGATGCATGCACACACATGAGTGCACAGACACACACACACACGCGCTATGCTCTAGTCATAATGAAATCACTTGCTTGTTTTCCAAGTTACCCTGTTGTCCCTTGCATCTGATATGCTTTTGCAAATGCTGTTTCCTGTTCTTAGGACACTTGTCTTCCTCTTCCCTACCTGGCAAACTTCTCAACCTCTAAGATTCAGCTCCAAGATTACCGCCACTGGGAAGTTTTCCCCGAGGCTGCCTGCTCTCCACCCAGCCCAGACCTGGAAAGGTGTCTCCGTCTCTGTCGCTTGGGGTTTGTTCCCAGGGCCTTTCCTCTTCTCTGCTTGTTTCCCTGGGTATCTCATCCACTCGTAGGCCTTCAGTTACCACGTGTGTGCTGATAATGCTTGAGCGATGACCACTACAAGAGTGCATGCAGCAAGAGGACTGGAAAAGCTTCATGCTCAGGGAAAAAAGACTGAAAGCGATGGGCTTAGTATTGGTTTATTTTCTTCCATGGCACCAGGTCGACTTGGGTTCCAGTACTGCCTCTGCCGATTTTCCAATTACGTATCCAGTGTTCACTCACTCAATCTCTTTTACCCTCCCTTTCTTTGCTCTTGAAATGCACAAAATAATCACACCCACCTTTACAGGGTTGCTGGGGGTTAAATGAGATTTTTCCATACTCAGGATTTAACACAGTGTCCCATCCATGACAATAACCAGATAAATGTCTGTTATTATCTTCTACATTTTCTTACTTTCTGCAATGAACACATTTCTTACAGAGTCAGGAAAAAGATGACAAATGTCTCACGTAACATCCAACTTATCCTTCAAGGCTGAGCTGAAAGGCTCCCTCCTCTAGAAGGTTTTCCTGTATCTCAGCAGACCATGCTATAGACGTTGTGCACATGTCTTCTCAGACCTTCCAGACAGCACACTCCTTGAAAGCTGAGATCTTGCCTGACGACACAGTGCCAGTACTGAGTATGCTCTTTAGCATTATGAATAAACCAAAGCATATGTCCATTTCGTTTACTAAAATAAATCATTAACGATAACGTTAAGCGTCTGACGGTGAGTAATCTCAAAACACCAAGAATAATAAATACCTCAACCAGATTAAATATTAGCCCCATGCTATTAGAAAATTCAGTGTCTGCAAAAAAGTATGAAGAAGAAAATTTAAATAATCCAAAATATGACCGCACAGATCATCAACATCAACAACTTCTTGTATTTCCTTCTAGGCTTTCTATTTTTTTCTGTCTTTTTTCTTCTGAACATGTATCGTTTAACAGAGTTGGAATTATTCTGTAAATTATTTTGCATTTTGATTTTTTCCTCAAGAAATTTCCTCAAACTCTATAGTATAATCATTTCCCCATGCTATTCAATATTCATCCAAAATATTCTTTTTTTGTGGCTACAAAATATTCTAACATATGTTTATCCCTTCATTGGTGTATTGAGTCCGCACTTGGTCGTTTTTGCCTTCTAACTCGTGTAAGTAATGCTGAGATGAAGCTGTTTGTACATAAACAACTCTTTCAAAACTAGAAGTCTTATATATGTTATCCTCTAAGAAATGCAGAGAGACAATAAACACATACTAAAGATTTAAAAATAAACAAAAAAACAGAAATTAAACTACTGGGATTATTTTTCCTATTAGATTAGCAAAGATGTATGAAGTAAGTCACGACCAATGTGTGTCATGATGGGGCATAAATTGGGGCAATCTTTCGGGAGGATTTTTGCCAATATGTATCAAAATGTCAACATGCATTCCCTGTGATCTCCCAGAAATGATATCTTCTGATATTATCCAAGGTAATTCTTATGAACTTTTCAAAAGTATACAAGATGCTCTTGGTAATGTTGTTTTAACATAGGACTTTGGGAAACAACCTAAATATCTTTCAATAAAGCCTGATGAAATGAATTATAGTAATTCATACAAGGGAATACCAAGCAGTTGCAGAGAATAATGATGGTGATCTTTATTTGCATAACATATTGGTGAGCGAAGAAATTTTTGAAAATAGGTTTTGGAATTGCACATATAATATGATCCCATTTATGTGAAAATGCTTTATTGTATTACAAAATGTATACATAAGTATGTATACTTGCCTAAAATGATGGAAATAATACCTATAACTAGTTTGTTGGATTTCTGGTGATTTTTTTCTAAGGAGTTTTATTGATTTCAGTTCTATCCCCTGATGTTTTCTTCTTTCTCTTTCTCTTTGTTTTTGGGTGATTTTTATAACTTTCTCCTTTGTACTTCTGAACTTTTTACAATAAAACAGTATCATTTTTACTAGAGCTAGAAAGCTATTTTCAAAAGAAAATTAAATTATTTTCTGCCCAATATTCTGAAGCCTACCTGTCAATCAAAGGACTAATGTAATCCTTTGTCCTTCAGCATTCTAGAAACCAAACAACAAGCATAGCAACTAACCCAATAACCATACCAGGAACCAGCCTCATTCAGCTGGGCCCATGTGTTGGGAGCTTCATTACGTGCTTTCTACACATCTACTGAGCAGCACGGCCACTTGAGTGGCTCCACGACACCCTAGCTATGTAACTTTGAGTATGTTCCTCAGCCTCGCCATGCCTCACCGTGCCTCCATGCTTCATCTTTAATTGGGGATAATAATACCACATGCCTCAGTAGGTTGCCTGTGAGAATTAAATGAGATCATTAGCACCGTGTCTGGCCAGCACTGTAAATGCTCACTAGTGTTGATTACTTTTATTACAGGTCAGGCACAGTGCTGGTTGGGAAGGGCTGTGGGGACTCAGCTTTGCTTCTGGGTCCTGCTCTTGTTGAGCTTTTAATTCAAAGACCAACGTTAATAAGAGCAGCAAGTGCAACGAGTTTCAGGAAAGGGGAAGTTGGAGGATTACACACATGAATTAACAGATTGTGTATGTTTCACTGCACCACTGCTGAGCAGGCCCCCTGCAAATCTCCTAAATGCCCAGACAGTGTGTGGAAAGCACAACAATGATCCCTTTGCTATGCGAGCCTCTTCACGAGTGGACGACTCTTGCTAGGTCGAAGACTATAAATGAGTCCACCCCAATTTCAGTCTGCTCCACATCAGAAAGGGAAGTGTGTGCCCACTTCTTCTGAACGTTCTCCTGAAAGGAAGACTCACAGAGTCAACACAAGAGCTTGCTCATTTGCAGAACGGATAAGGTACACAACTCAAAGAGCTTTAAAAGGTCACTTTTAAGCAAGGGGCGTAGTTGAACCCGTCAATATGGGGGGTCTCAGAGCAGATCCCAGTGTGAGCATGGCGCTCACAGCCGTGATTCTTCATGTCTTTGGGTCTTGCATCCTTCGGCAAACTGGAAAAGCTACCAACTCTCTCCCTAGGAAACTGCACACATGAGCATAAAACGCTATTTGTGTACAATATCTGGGGTTCACGGACCCCTAGTTTCCACCAATGGATTTCCTAGTAATGCATTAATATGATAATCATTATAACCCCTAACACTTATTGAGAATGTGCTTAGTGCCTGACACTGTTTTAAGCACTTTACGTGTACCTACCCCACAAGCTCCCCACTTTATAGATGAGAAAGCTGAGGTACACAGAAGTTGAGCAATTGACCCAAAGTCAAAGAGCTGTGAAGTGTGGACCTAGAATTTTGACCCAGACATCCTGACTCCAAACCCCACTCCCTCAGTCAGTACCATGGGGCTATGACAGACGCTGAGTGTCTGTGACAGTTCTGAGGGGGAGATCCTAACCCAGAGTGGGTGACTCAAAGGTGGCTTTCGGGAAGAAGTGACATGGATGGTCAGACTTTAAGGAGGAGTAGGAATTAAGCCAGTATGGGAAACATTCCAAAAAAGCAGAGACAGCATGTGCTGCAGTCCCAGGGCAAAAGAGAACTCAGTCATTTGGAGGAGCTGGCAGGAGGTCAGTGTTGCTGAGCTCAGAGGTAGAGGAAGGGATTCTGAAGAGAGGAGGCTGAGGAGGAGGGCACAGGCCAGCACAAAGACCCTGAGGACATTTTAAGGAGTTTGGACTGAATCCTGAAAGCAACTAGAAGACCATAGTTGGCCTACACACCTTACCTCCCCGAAATCCA